AGGAAAGAACGTGGTATGATAGCCAGCATATCATTTATTGTTGTTAACGGTACAGTTTTACACACACACACACACACACACACAGCTGTTATATATATATCTATCTATCTATCTATCTATCTATCTATCTATCTATCTATATATATGTGTGTGTGTGTGTTTAGCGGTTAGCGTGTGTAATCCTAGTTATCTGTTATATTTTAATCGTTTCTCCCCCAAGAAAGCCGATGATGCCACGGAGATACAAGATGTTACTGGGAGTGAAAGAAGATACGAAAACTTTAGAGGGGAGAAAGGTCAAGAAAAGAACAGGATTCAAAAAGACAAAAGATAGCGATTGGAATTGCATTTAAATTTCTGAAGATTGTAGGCGACGGAAGTAACATGCCAGAAGAGACCACCACAAGCAAGAAGTGCGAGCAAAGTAACTATTGGTATAGAACTTTACACCTAGCGATTTCAACTGCAAAAGAATGAGACCTAACTGCCAATCTAGTATTATACTTAAATTTATGAGGGCAAGTTACCAAATTGGAAAGCTCATTAGAACAATTGCGTAACGTCGTTGGGGAAAGTGACTGAAGTCGAGATGCCTGATCAAGACCGATAACATTACAGACCGTTTTTTGGGTGTGATATGATATGTAGCGGGAACACCAGACCAGATGTGTCAGCAATATTCAATGCAAGGGTAGATTTATAAACGTACAAGATGGATACAGGCGAGAAAAATTGTATGACACGACACAGTGAACGAACTTTCCTATCAGTATACAGACATACCTCTCATCATAGGAGGGATGAATGGTCCGTTAAAACCGGTTTTCTGTAGATGGAGAGGGATTATTTTTGAGTTATAAAACCACTATAGTAACTACCAGTAGTTATGTTCATAATGTAAATCCTATAAAACATGTACATATGGCATAAATGAATATATACTTAATATAGATATATTAATCAAAATAACAAAAATAATAGATTTCTCACAGATACTTTCTCACGCACGCGCTAATGTATCGTACTTTATATACTGTACACCCGTCTTTGTTCACAATTGAAAGGCCCTCCACCGCCGCCAAGCGGTCACTTTGAGAACTAATACGACTCGTTCCACTAATCCCGCAATTTTTGAAATACATTGCTGACGAGTTGGAAGTTTTTTGCCTGCAGATTTTGTCCGTTGCATTCGAAGTCTGTTTGTTGTCCGTAGATGAGAGGTAATATAAACATTCCACTTCATGTCAGTGGAAAACATGAGACTGAGAAGGCACAATGAGTTGCTCACCTGGAGGTTGGCATCGACCATTCTGATAGAAAGCAGAACGGGATTCCCTAAGATGTCTAAAAGACAGCAGTTTCGTGTTGGAAGCGTTAAAGCCTACAAACCATTTCTTGCCCCAGTTAAGGAGAGATTGAAGATCATTTTTGAAACCATCTTCCAGTTATTGAATAGTGCGTTCGAGCCTCAATCGGTACGCCGTATAAAATCTGTCAGTAAATAAACCTCCAAGGGTCGATATATTATAAAATCAGTTGACCTGTTTCGCGTCGAGGCGTCGTATTCTTCTTCGATTAGTTTGATACAAAGTAAGAATAGGGAATCATCCAAAGAAGCTCAAACTCGCTGCTCGATTAGCTTGTTAGCTATCACTCAGTGACAAGGCATTTTAGAGGCTAGATTTTAGGCGTAGGTTCATACAGCACAAAGGAACAATGCTGAGTTGCCGTCACGATCAAACTCTCTACACGAGGCTTGTGTGATATCACTTACTAAACATAGCGTTGCTATAAGCAGCTAAGTAGATATTCACTCGGCTTAGTTTAGTCTGATCCAAGGCCAGAGCATTAGTGGAGCTTATATAATAGCCAATCGGTTTGTGAGACGAGTCGCTTTGCTAACCATTGCGCTATTACTAGTATTCCAAAAGCGAACAAGTTTTGCTTATTTATTTGTCTTTTTGTGAATAGTACGGGTGTTATATGACAATCATCAGGGACGATATCGCGAAGATGATCATTAAACAAGCAAAATGTTTATTGATGATGTCACAACGAAAGCCGGGTATTGGGGGAAAGAGGTTCAGAATCGGAGGCATTCTTTTTTTATTGGTTTAATCAAGTGTCTTCATTCCCTAATATTGTTATTTCCTTATTAGCCTCAGCAAATAAATAAATAAATAAAAATCCTGGCAGGGGCGCGTTTCCCAGTTTACTGCCAACCTCCGACCTCTGCACATGCGCACACCAGACGCTGGCTTTCACTTTCTTTCACAAGGAATGACGCCATTTATTAAGTTCTTAAAACTTGTGAATGGACCCTTTGGCGCTAAAATTATTCTATCCAGAACCAACGATCGAACTTTTGGCCTTTTGTATTTTGAAGATGGAAAAGAGGCGGGTGTATTAATATATTTTATCTATTTTGCAATATTTATTGGTAATTTCATCTTAATATGATTTTGCCTGCCCTGACGACAACAAGAACGTTGAGAGAAGATTTGGTTAACTAAATAACGGTTTAATCTCGTATTTGTTTTATTTTTAATATTATTTTGGCTTTACATAAATGATTTAAAGTAAAATAAATATATACATACATTCGGTTTAAATAAATATTTATATTGTATGGGAGTATATAATTACTGCACTTTGATATATATATATATAGGAGGTAGATATTCAAAATTTGGTATTTTCATGGGGGTAGAGTGCACCGTATCGGAGATAGTGTTCAGAGAGTGTAGACATTAGAATCATCACTGCATGCTGACTGTCAGTTTCACGCCTTCATGCTCTAAAGATTGCTTGAAGAGTGAAAGTGACAGTCACTTTGCACCGTTGATTTCTATGTCCACACAGTCTACATCTGTATACAGTCTCAAATATTGAAGATTCTTCCTCATAAATATAGCAAATTTTAAACAATATCCATGTGCTTGTATCCATCTATCTATCTAATATATATATATATATATATATATATATATATATATATATATATATATATATATATAAAGAGAAAAATGTTTGTGTGTGTTTGTATATAATGTAAAATTGAATTTGAATTAACGATTTATGAAAACCTATTTTTGTAACGTGTTTTGTTCCTTCAGGAGTTCATGAAGAGCAAAATGCAAAAATTTAATGAGTCTGTACACAGAAAAAAATCCATTGAGAAAATGGCATGATGTGTTGAAATCTAAATCCGAGACCATTCTAAAATGTTTTTTTTATGAATTTAATGAAGGAAAAACACGTGTGTGTGTATATATATATATATATATATATATATATATATATATATATATATAATATAAATAAAAATGCCTTTTTATTATATAGTGTAACCTGGGTATAAGAGAGTTGGCGGGACCGGAGAAGTCTCTTATATCCGGGTTTGATCTATTTTATATACATTAGCACAGGCTCTAATTTGGGACCAGAGAAAATCTCTCTTATATCCGGGTTACACTGTATCCTTACTCTGTCCTGGACATTGAGTTCTACCTGGATTCTATCCTCTTAGAATTTTTTTATACAAAATATATATGTATGTGTATGCATGTATGTATATATATTTTGCATATGTATGTGTATATTTACCACTAATATTATCTATCTATCTATCTATCTATCTATCTATATATATATATATATATATATATATATATATATTGAGTGTGTTCAGCCTCAGTTAACCAATGCTGAAATAATTGAGAATATAGTCCAATCACTGAAGCTATGGGTTAATTAGTAGGACGTGTATCAGTAAATCGTTATTATCGCCCCCTAAATTCTTACAATGTAAGAATATATCCCGGATTTAAATAACCTGCAAGGGGTTGATAAGCCGTAATAAACAATTCACATCTCTTCTTTCTTCTTTAACATCATATTATGCTTGAAAATGCTTTATGTGATTGTGGTGATGATGACTGGCGTTGGGACCAGTTATTGAAATTTGAACTAAGGCTTTTTGGTAAGAACGAAAACAAAAGAAATTATTTTCAACTCGAGGTCGAGCCTCCGCCTGTTTTCCTTTATGGAGGTTTTTTCCTGAATTCAATAATTCACTAATTCAATATTACGGGCTTGTAAGAATTGGCTTATTCTGATTTAAGATTTAGGATTTAGTAGGTCAAATTATTATACAAAGGAAATTGATATAGAGAGGAAATTTATTAACTTTAAATGCTTTTGCTCTGTTGTTCAATTTAGCAGGATTCAAAATAAAAGATTTTTTTTTTTGGCTTTTAACAATAGTATTAAAATAAAAAAAATAGATTTAGCACCACAGTAAAAGAATGTTTCTTTGTTACAAAGAAACGACTAGAATAACTGTTAATGAGAGAGAGAGAGAGAGAGAGAGAGAGAGAGAAGATAAAACGAATGCCTTGTAGTCTGTCGTTTTTTTTTCGTTTTTCTTGTCTATACAAGTCTATCTTTCTCTCTCTCTCTCTGTTCTTTCGTTGATCGCGTTAAACATTTTCACACCGACTCTTAAAAATTAATTTTCTTTTTCCTGACAAAATATACAACATTGTAACTTATGCGATGAGAACGAAAACAATATATAAATTCTAACGTTCCCGAAATTAATTTAAAAACAGGGCTCTGTACCGATAGTAGAGCAATAATTGTTTATTATAATTTTTTCATATAGACAAAAACAGTTCATTCACTACAAAGATGCAACTTCGCTTCAGTGCATTTCAATTGAACTTCGACAGGTGAAAACCAAGATTGATATGCACTGAAACGAATTTACATCTTTGTAGTGAGTAAACTGTTTTTGTCTATATGAAAAAATTATAAATAAAAAGATAGTAACTTAAATAGATAGGATTTGAAGCCGTTTAGTCATAGAGAGTGCGGCAGAAATACCTACCAAATTTGCATCCCACATAATGGTAAGATAACTAGATGAAGACACTATTACCACTAATATCTTGCTATTATCCCGTATTTGCCGCGCCCTTTACAAGTTAGTTCAGCTGAGGGCCATATCACGTTGAAATACAGGTTCTCGTACGATCACCGAAGTTAAGAAACGTCGAGCCTGGTCAACACCGAGATCGGTGACCTCTTGGGGGACACTGGGTGCTGTAAGCTTGGATGTGCGGATGGTGTAATGGAGATAGGTTCTCGAAATTGGAGATAGGTTCGTTATATTCACTTACGAGCAAATAGCCTTGGAAAAGATATCACTTCACCTCTTCTCCTCAAAGCACTGGATTAATTAGTAGGAATCGTGTTAGTAAATCATTATTATCCCCAACCCAGCAAAAATAAATAAATAAATCATAAAATCTAGAAATATAGTCTGGCTTGATAAACCGTAAAAAGAATCAATCAAAAACAAATTAGTTTAAAGCGATACTCGAGATCGTGAAATGAAAAATGTAAATGAAAAACGGAAGAGGCAAAAACAAGAGAATACTTTTTTTTTTTAATTTAAAACGACAAGAAAAAAAAATCGCTCCATAATATTCTTTGTCTAATTCAAGGGTTACGCTATCTTAATATGGTGATTTTCTAAGCGCAGCTTAGATATGGCACAAGGTCGAAACTATGGAGCAACCGATGGGGATCGAACTCACTACTCAATCATAATTGTTCTAGTGGGGCCAGCTTGTTAACTATTACACCACATCGAGGTGCCCAAGCTCTGTCTTAATATGATTGGTACACTTTGAGAAGGTCGAAACAACGTCTCCAATTCTTCCATCCAAAATGTTTTTCAGTTTTGTTTAATAGTAACAACGAGATTGCTGTGTGTGGAGCTTAGATAATTGCATTAGAAAGTATCACAAGCAACATTTATTAAACAAAGACATCAATACATTCAATTACTTGAATGATTACAATATAGCAGTAAATATCAAATTCATATAGAATACGTAAGCAGATACCAAAATTTCCGTCATAGTATGTATATGTGTATGAACATGTATGGTGAATAGATGAATTCAAAAGTTGAAGGCGTATTTAATAAAAGAAATTGCATTCTAAATATTATTGCGACTAGCGAGTAGACAATGTATATTTTGTTTCTACTCTTTGTAGAGACAATAATAATGTCCCATTCTTGGATCAGTGTCATCCTTAGTGCAAGAGGTTGAAGGTCGTTTGTTCACAATACGATCAGTTTATGACAATCACATATTTTAATGGCTTAAAGAGGAAATGTTTCTTATTTTTTGATTTTTTAAACAATTAAATGCCTGAGCAAGTTTAAAGATTCAGTCTGCATGCTGTGCATTGAAAATCACATACACGCACACACAAATAACAGTGGTTTGGAATAAAGACAAGTATTACTGACAAAATAGCCATGAAAGTGGTGCAATGGTAACGGCTTGGAATGAGAAATCGGTGGAGCCGAGTTCGTAATTCTAGTCGGGTTTTTTACATTCTCTTTCGCGTAAATTACCCTGGAAAAGGTTTGGATCCATATCTTCTCACCCTAGCAGACTAGATTCTTCAGTCGTGGCGGTAAACAGTCTGAAAGGAGAACAACTTTGAATTCAAACCGAATGCAGCCCTAGCGAAGCATATACTATGCGGCCATATCACTACTCTATCGCTATTTCCACGGCAAATATTCAGATGAGCCTCATTCTTTAGTTCCATCAGTACAAACCTTTACAACTAGGACACGTCATGTTGCTTCCACAGAGTCGAATCACTCTCATTTCCTCCGTATTCCTAATGTCAGAAGAAAGTTCCTCTCAGACAGCCTGTTCCAAGAACTGCGAATTTGCTAACAGTTTATTCTATCGCACTTCTCGCTTGTGGAACTCTCTTCTGGCGCCATGCTTTCTGGTCAACTTTGATCTTCAAAAATTTAAATGCAATGTCAGTCGTTATCTTCTGGTTCCTTAATTCTTGATTAAAAATATGCTATTAAGAATAGAAGACAATAAAAGAACTTTTATTGTTCTCTCTTTTTAATAGCTTATTTTTCTCGTATTCTCTAACATTCGGTAACCCCTTTGCGTCTTGATGGCTTTATTGCTTGCTTGGAGTGAAATGATAAAAAAAAAAATCAAATACTAAACTTCATTGTAGTTTTACAGGTCGATAAAATAAAAGTTTAGTTTTTTTGTTCTGGCTTTTCAAAAACCCTGAACTCGAAACTAGACGAAGAATCTAAATCCGCTTAACTGGGATTACGATTAAGATGAGATTAAG